AATTATTGGCAATTATCAGAGCACTGAAAAAATGGAGAGTGGACCTGCTAGGCTCACCATTTTTTATCTACACAGACCATAAAACACTGGAAAACTTTAACACGCAAAAATATCTATCACGTCGACAAGCGCGGTGGATGGAATTTATGTCACAATATGATGCCAGGATCATTTATGTCAAAGGTGGCGATAACACGGTTGCTGATGCACTCTCACGTCTGCCCTGTCAAGCCATGCCAGAGAGTGCTGAAAACATTGCACGGCATCTGTACAGTTACTGCCAAGATGACATCGACACACCTAATACTGTCGCCTACATCTGGTCTCCACAGCTCCATGGACCCAGGGAATCTGCAAGGGCTCTCGCACATTCCAAAGGACTGACTTCGGTAAACACAACATTGAACATCTCTGCTGATAAAAATCTGTTGCAGGAAATCAAAGAGGGTTATGTGCATGACACTTGGTGCAAACATTTACCTGCCGCCACAGCAAGCTGGCCAGAACTTCGGAACCAGGATGGATTGTGGTATGTCGGCAATCAACTGATCATCCCTCGCACTGGTACCCTTCATGAAACATTATTCCAATTGGCCCACAACAGTTTGGGTCACTTCGGTTTCGATAAAACATACAGCTCACTACAAACTTCCTACTACTGGCCGAACATGCGGCGTGACCTCGAGAATGGCTATGTCGCCTCCTGCCCAGAATGTCAATGTAACAAGTTAACAACATCCAAACCACTTGGACCTTTGCACCTGCTACCTATTCCAGATCAAAGAGGCAACTCTGTCGCAATTGATTTCATTGGCCCACTACCAGAAGATGAAGGCAACAACTGCATCATCACATTCACGGACCGACTGGGCAGTGATATTCAACTGGCCGCAACACGCACAGACATCACGGCGGAGCAGTTGGCATACCTTTTTTTTGATAAGTGGTATTGCGAAAATGGACTCCCAGCTGACATTGTTTCGGACAGAGATAAGCTCTTTGTATCCAAATTCTGGAAAGCACTTCACAAGTTAACTGGTGTCAAATTGAAAATGTCGACTGCTTACCATCCGCAAACTGATGGCACGAGCGAACGGACTAATAAAATGGTGAACCAGTGTCTACGATACCATGTCAAGCGGAATCAATTAGGCTGGTCTTGTGTGCTGCCTCGCATCTGTTTCCACATCATGAGCACCATCAACAAGTCCACGGATTTCACGCCTTTCCAACTGTGAATGGGGCATAATCCTTGGATAATCCCTCCATTATTACCACTACCTCGCAGCGCTACGGCAGAAGATATATCCGCTCGAGACATCATCCTGCGGCTGCAAACTGACATTGAAGAAGTGCAAGACAATCTCTTATGTGCCAAAATAACACAATCCGTAGAAGCAAATAAACACCACTCTCTAAATTTTCCTTTCACTGTCGGTTCACATGTTTGGCTAACAACCCTTCACAGGTGCAATGAGTACAAGGCAAAAGGTGAAAAACGGGTTGCAAAATTTATGCCTCGGTACGATGGACCATACAAAGTCGTTGATACAGACGAAAGACACTCAACTGTCACCATCGAATTACCTAATGCCCCCAACATCTTCCCCACATTTCACACTTCGGAACTCCTTCCTTTCACACTGCGGGAGTGGGCTTGTATATCCATCGGATATATCCTGAATAAGTCGTGATTGACCAATCAGAATGCACCGATCACAATTTATCCAGAGAATAAACAAGCCACATCCCCGCAGTGTCATCGAAAACGATGACTCCCTTTTCCCTTCACGAAAATTCGAAGAACCCCCGCCGATACTTACACCTGAAGGCGAACAAGAATTTTTCATTGACAAGATTCTAGATCAGCGCCGTCGAGGCTGCGGATATCAATACCTCATTCATTGGCACGGTTATGGGCAAGACCACAACCAATGGCTACCCACGTCAGAACTTCAAGAATGCGCGGCTCTCAACCACTGGCTGGCATCTAGGGGTGAAAGTTGAACTTACGTAGCTTTTGTTTTCTTTTTTGCCAGCCGGTAGCTTTTCCCACTGGGTTTTTAATGCACCCGTGCTTGGATTTTACTTACCTTTCAACGTCACTGATCTTTTTTCCTTTTCTTGTTTTAAAGCAGGGGAGGGTGTAATCACAGATTACACTTGTTTGGCATCACCCTCCTTTGATTACATCACATACACACTCTGCTCTCTTACCTACCACCATCATCTCGCACTCACTCCTCTGTATATTCCCCACACTTAGACCTCCAGAATCATACACTTGGTATACTTCTGTCTTGGTGTGATCTCTCTCTCTCTCTCTCCAGTACTTTACCATCCCCCACATAATCCACATGGACTCCACTGGATTCCACTGGATTCCACTGGATTCCATTGGATTCCACTGGACTTCACTACATACTGGCAATATCCACAAATCTGGACTCCACTGGACTCCCAGCACAAAACTGGACTCCACTGGACTGCAAGCACAAAACTGGACTGGACTGGACTGGACTGGACTGCAAATCACAAAACTGGACTGGACTGGACTCCACTGGACTCTCCCAACACAAAACTGGACTGGACTGGACTGCCACAGACTTAAGTTAATCCAGAATTCCTCTTCAAAACAAAAAATAAAATTGAAGTATATTCATTAATTAAATTAATTAAATTTACATAGATTCTATGTTACAGAGGAGGGAGGGAGGGGGAATGGAAAGGGAAAGGGAAAGGGAGGGGGAAGAGAGGAATGAATAGAGGGGGGAGGGAGCAAGGAAGGGGGAAGGAAAGGGAGGGGGGGAGAGAGGAGCAAGGAAAGGGGAGGGGGAAAGGGGGAGGGGGGAAAGGGGGAGAGACTGAAGGGGGGAGAGACTGAAGGGGGGAGAGTGTGAAGGGGGGAGGGAGTGGAGGGAAGTGGGAGTGGTGAAGAGAGGAGGTAGTGATGGGGGGAGAGAGTGGAGGGGAAGGGTGATGCTGCTGGGCCCTTGTTGCCGTTCAGCACTGGCGGGCGCTCATCGTTTTTTGTGGGCATATTGTTTTTCGGGTGTGGTGGCAGCGGCGGCGTTTTCGTCGGCGCTCGTTCATCATCGTCATCGTGTGTCGTCGTCCCGGCGTGTCGTGTGTCGTCGTCCCGGCGTGTCGTTGTCGTTGTAGTTGTGTGTCGTTGTCATTGTCCCGGCGTGTAGTCGTCGTTGTCGTTGTCGTGTGTCGTCATCCTCGTGTGTCGTTGTCGTTTTTGTGGGTGGGGGTCGTTTTTCATGGGCGGTGGCTGGTTTTCGTGTGACGTGGCAGCAGGCGGTGGCCATTTTCCATGGGCGCTCGTTCGTGTGGTCGGCTTTGCGTGTTGTCGTCATCGTGCTTGCGTGTCGTCGTGCTCGCGTTTCATCGTGCTCGCGTGTCGTCGTCGTGCTCACATGTCGTCGTTGTCGCCGTCCTCATGTGCCGTGCATGGGTGGTTGCTGGCGTCGTGCCTGTCGTGGTGAGAACGGAGGAACGGGGTGGTGGGGCATACGTACCCCTTGCCCATGACGTTGCCACGTCATGGGCGTTGTCCCTCGTCCTTGGTCCATCATTCCACGCTGGGGGTGTCGTTGTCATTAGCGTGGGCATCATGTGCGTCGTTAGCATGGGCGTGGGCGTGGGTGTCGTGTGCATCGTTAGCATGGGCGTGGGTGTCGTCGGCGGCGTTGAGATGTGAATGGTGGTGGTGGTGGAAGGGAAAGGGATGGTCACGGCAGTGTGACCATCCCACAAACAGGCAACATGACGATATGGCACGCCCTCAAGTAAGTCATGTGACCTCACCCCGCAGACTGAACAAAATCATGAATCCTTATTGCAGCTATCACTGACCCACACTATATGTAAATTATAATCTTTCCATTCATTGATTAATAAAATTGTAGGTATAGCTTGTCTATTGTGTAGTCCATTTTCGCTTTTTTAGTTATATTCATACATAATAATAATAATAATATACTGGAATGACTGGAATCCACTGGAATCCACTGGACTCCACTGGACTCTGACTGGACTCATAGTCCACTGGACTGGGACTGGACTCAGGAAAGTGGCTGGCAGTCCAGTGGGAGTCCAGTGGACTGGACTGGACTGGACTGGACTGGACTCCAGTGGACTGGGCATTCTGCCAGCCAATCTGGCCTGGTAAGAGGGCCACTGGAACCCACTGGAGTCCACTGGAATCCACTGGAGTCCATATGGATTACGTGGGGGAGGGTAAAGACCTCCTCTCTCTCTATCATCGTCTTTAGTGTTATCTATTCCCCTCTTAGGGGATAGATTTCCACTTTTTTTGAAGTAAAGCAGTCCCTAGAATGCACAAAGGACCACCTAAGCCAAAAGGCAGAATAACTGAGAAGTTATATTCTCAGCCAGTGCATCCTATATATGATACAGTATGGGACCTGTAGTAATCATGCCATGATTACACCCTCCCTATCTCTGGAACTTTGCCCCCTCGTACAGACCTGGTCCCAATCCCATAGTCCTGGAGTTCCTCATGGGGTTTCCAAAGTGGGAGTGCTCATATAGGCCACCCCAAGGGTCTACCCCCTTGCAACTAACAGTATTCATTCCCACGGTCCCACAGCCAGCTTTGCCATGGGCCAGGATTGAACCTGCAGCCGAAACTTCTCAGTTAATATAAGCAGTCCCTAGAATGCACAAAGGACCACCTAAGCAAAAAGGCAGAATAACTGAGAAGTTATATCAGTACTTTACAGTGCCCCACCTATTCCTGCAGGATTCCACAGGAATTGCACTGGAATGCAGAATAAGGTTGAAAAACCCATGTAAGTTTACTAGTACTTTAATTAATTCCAACCTTATCCTGATGACTTGTTATTCAAAATTCCTTATGAGCTTACATCTCAATAGATCAAATTGTAATGTATTTTACTACATGCTACTACATAGAGTCTGTATTAAAGGGAGGGGTGTATTTTACTACATACTACTATACTACACAGAGTCTACATCAAAGGGAGGGGAAGGGACAAAGCGGGGGACAAGGGACAAGAAAAGGGGAGGTACAAGGAAGGGGGTAGGGACAAGGAAAAGGGGGGAGGGACAAGGGACAAGGGACAAGGAAGGGGATAGGGACAAGGAAGGGGGGGAGGAACAAGGAGCCAAGCGAGCGCATAAATGCGCTCGTCGTTGTGCGTAGGGTGGTAGAGCTGGAGATGCTCGCCGCCGTTTGTAGCTGGTGCTGGGGCGCCGTATCGTGGTGGTGCTGGCTCGTGGATCGTGGTGGGCGTGGGGTGTTGTTTCGTGGGTGCTGGCGTTGTTTCATAGGTGCCGGGCGTTGTTTCGTGGGCGCGGGGTGTTGTTTCGTGACGTGGACGTTCTGTGGTGGGCGCTGGGTGTTTTTCGGTGGGCGATGGGTGTTGGACGTGGAGGTAGTCGCATTGCCGTGGACACGTCGTCCTGTTGTCTGGCGTGGATGCGTCATCGTGGGTGTTGGCGTCGTCGTCGTTGGCGTTGGCATGTCGTTGTCGTCCATGGCATCGTTTGGTGGGCGCTGAGCGTTGTTTCGTCTCCGGGGACGTCGCTCCGTATCCATTCGGCGTTGTTTCGTGTCCGTTCGGCGTTGTTTCGTGTCTGGGGGCGTTGTTTCGTGTCCGTTGGGCATTGTTTCGTATCCGCTGGCGGTGTACGTGGGCGCTGGGCGTCGTTTCGTGGGTGGGGTGTGATTTTTGTGGGTGCTGGGTTGTTTTTGTGGGCGTTGCGGCGTTTTCGTGGGTTCTGGCGCTCGTTGTTTCTTGACGTGGCATCGCCGCGTTGTTGCTGAACGGCGTTGTGGTCGATGTTGGTGGTCATGGTGGCCATGGGCGATCGAGGAGCGACGTTGGCGGTGGTGGCTATGGGTGACGGTGATGGCGTGGCGTTGGCGGCGGTGACGAGCATGGTGAAGGTGGTGGAAGAAGAGTGGCCGTGTTTGGTGAGCATGTTGCCAAACAAACATTGTTTGTGATCCATCGAAAATAAATAAACTATAATACAGTAACAAATAAATAAAATAAACAGACAGGACTGGAATCCCATTCCTGCCCACTCCAGGGAATCCCATTCCTGCCCATTCCGGGGAAGACCATTCCGGGGAGCATTCCGGTGTAAATTCCGGAATAATCAGATTTCACCGGAATGAGAAAACACAGGAATGACAAATTTAGCAGGGCTTACTGCTAAATTTCATTTCACCGGAATCCACTGGAATCCACCGGAATTCCGCCGGAATGACCGGATTCCTGCAGGAATAGGGGGGGCACTGATAAGACCTCTATCACATCCATCATAGCTATCTCAGAAAAGTCGCAAAGGGAAGCATCTCCCCGGACTTCTTTGATGGAGAATGACAAAGACACAGAGGATCAGGCAACAAATGAAGTTTGGGCTGAAGAGGAGGAAAGCTTCAACCCTAAAACTGCAGAGTTACCTGACCTTACAACTTACCCATCAGAGAAAATGGAGGAATTCTTGGACATAGGCTCCATTCCCAAACACTTGAAGGAAAGGGCTTGGGATATGCTAAAGCAACGTCAGCAGGCCTTTGGCTTTGATGGTCAACTGGGTCACCACCCGAGTAAGGTTCACATCAGGACTGCAGATGGGCAAGTGCCAATAGCTGTGCCTATGTACGGCACGTCGCCAGCCAAGAGAGCTGTAATGGACGAACAGCTTGATAAATGAGAGGTCTTTATTGTCCTCCACTGATTCCTGCCGGATTCCGGCGGAATCCGGGCAATTCCTGGAATTCCAGAGGAATCAAATTTGGCAGAGGACCCTGCCAAATTGATCAAACAATTCCGCGGAATTTTGAATGGAATTCAAATTCTGCTGGAATGGTTCTGGTGATCACCCGGAAGGAATGCTCACGGAACGAGCCAGAACGGAATTCCTAACGCCCAAATCGAGTGTCAGCATTTGCCGACGTTTGATCTGGGCATCATCAACAAACAGCACCACATCTCTCTCTTAACCACCACCATCACCGATGCCTACGCACAATGTCCACCACCACACACCAGCCACAATGACGAGAGAACGACAACGTCCATCGTCGTTCTCACCACACTAACACAACACCACAGCCATGACACGGGAAACAACGCCCCAATGCCAGTGTTGGAAGGTCATGACTAGTGTTTGGAAGTCCGGTCTCGTGACTGGAAAAAGACCGTAACCAGACTGGACCAAGACCGCAAAAGACCGGACCTGCAGTTACAGTCTTTTATTTTTGAAATGTAAAGACCGCAAAAAAACCGGTTAACGTGAACCGGTCTTTTGTAGCCCCTTAAATACCCTTTAAAACGCACCCAAGAACGTACGATTTGGTAAAAAAACGAGAGAGATATGAATTAAAATGTAAATTACTTTTGGGAATAATAGATGTACCAGACTTATTTTATAGAAGCACCAATTACTAACAGAATTTAACGTTCTTGGGCTCGTTTTGAAGCTATTAGAGATGTTAATAAATTTACCGATTCATAATTTTAAAATATTGGCCTAAAGACCGGTCATAAACCGGTTAAAACCGATGCAGACCAAAACCGCGGTCTGCGGTCTTTTTGCGGTCTGGTCTGGTCTTTTGACTTCTGGGGAAAAGGCAGACTGGTTACGGTTACGGTTAACGCCCCTGGGCATCAAAAAACCGGACCGAACCAGACTTTCAAACACTAGTCATGACTAAAAATAAGAAGTCACGGTCATGACTTTGATGACTAGTCACAACTAGTCATTGACATCAATTTTTGATTGGCTTGCACGTGATGAATGACTTTGAGGGAAGGGTCTGATGGATGACGGTAAGGGTCTGATGGGAAGGGTCTGCCCTACTTGGAGAGTGGAGATTATGAATAACAAAACTAGCAATTTGTGTGCACGTTGGCATATGCACTCTGTACTCCATGCTTGAAGTATATATGATCAATCCAACATTTACTTACCCAAGGAAATCATACAGAGCGCTGCCATATACCGATCATATGCTGTTTGTCAGCTGCACTTGGATTTCGGAAAGGAAAGACACCCCCTGAGGATAGCGACAACTCTGACCTTGAGGACCTTCCTTCCCTTGTAGATTAAATATTTTGAACACAAATTCCAGTCTTTTGTGTGTGTCGCAGTGACTGCGCTGCACAAAAGTTCGTTGCTTATCTAACTATCCTGCCTTATTTAGTAAATGGTGACTGAGTCACAGTCAATTTGACTTGACTTTTGACTTCTTTTGACTTGTCATGACTAGCATTGACTAGTCAATGACCGGCACATCACTGCAATGCAACGTCACCAGTCCCAGTAAATGAGTGCAGCAACACGTTGCCACGTCGCTATCAGCAACGTGGCAACCAGACGACGAATGACGAAATCGTCGTTTGTCGTCCTAGGTGAGCACCCTGTCCCCAACCCAGCTTCAACACATGACCACCACAACCATGCCAACAGATGACACATGGAGCACCACCACGTCAACAGATGATGCCCACCTCAACAGATCGCCACCACGTCAGCGGACAACAATGACGACATCATCAATGGACTGCTGCCACGTCAGTGGACAACGACCACCTCAACAGACGACACCCACGTTAATGGACGACAACAACCACCTCAACGGACGACGCCCACGTTAACGGACGACAACAAGCACACCAGTGGATGACGAGCACATCAGCGGATGACGAGCACATCAGCAGACAATGCTCATGTCAATGGATGACGACGACGACGACGACGATGTCAGCAGACGACGCCCACATCAACAGACAACGGCGAGCACGTCAACGAAGACACAACAGGAATGACGTAAAGCACAGGACGACGAACAGTGACAAGGCCCAGTACTCCCCACCACTCTCTCCCCCCTCCATCAGTCCCCACCACTCCATCCACTCTCCCTCTCTTCCCTCCCTCCATCCTTCTTCCCTCCATCTGTCCCTCTTCCCTCCCTCCATGCCCCCTCTCTCCATTCCTCCCCCCTCTCTCCCTCACTCCCTCCCCTCCATCACTCCCTCCCTCCTCCATCACTCCCTCCCCTCCATTCCCTCTCCATCACTCCCCACCACCTCTCCCCATCACTCCCTCTCCCATCACCCCTCTCTCCTTCACCCCCCTCCCTCCCCTTAACACTCTATGTAGTAGGATAGTTTTGTAGTAGAATAATTTTATGTAGTAGTGAATACACCTGAAATATTTATGTTCAAATTTGAATATCATAAGCATTTCCTAAGTTTAAGTTATCAGCATAGAATAGAATAATAGATTGACTGACTACATTACACAATTAATTCAGGAGGTCTTGATAAGTGCAGATTAAGTCACATGACATCTAGCTGAAGTGGAATTGTAGGGGAAACTGAGAAGTATAGATTTGTACTGAAATTTCTGTCTATTCCATCTGGATTCCTGTCAATTCCGGCCGGAATCAGTGGAGGAATGGAAAGTATTGATAAATGGTTTGAACAAGATGTTATCGAACCCTTGAAGAGCCCATGGAGCGCTCCCGTGGTTATCACCTACCGAAATGGCAAGCCCCGGTTCTGTGTTGACTACCAGAAGCTCAATGCTGCAACTACACCAGATGAATTCCCCATCCCAAGGCAGTCAGAAATCTTATCATCACTATTGGGAGCACAAGTTCTGTCCTCTCTTGATGCATTGTCAGGTTTCACACAACTGGAGATGCATGAGGATGATGTTGAGGAAACCGCCTTCAGGACTCACAGAGGCCTCTTCCAATTCAAACGAATGCCATTCAGTTTATGGAACGGCTCTTCAATTTTTCAACGAGTGATGCAGGGTATTCTCACCCCCTACTTATGGATCTTCTGTTTGGTATACATAGACGATATCGTTATATACTCCAAGACTTACGAGGACTACATAAACCACTTGGACAAATTGTTGGAAGCAATTGAACTTGCCAGAATCACTCTTTCACCAGTCAAATGCCATTTGTTTTATTTGTCAATACTACTACTTGGACATAAAGTTTCGCGCTTAGGACGTGTACTTTACCCTCCCTCACGGATTCCAGATGGACTCCATAAATCCATTTGGACTCCATCTGGAAAAGACCTCACCCTATAATTTCGTTGAAAATCCATCTGGACTCCACATGGACTCCACCTGGAATCCAAGTGGCCTCCAGATGGATTTCAACATGGACTCTGCCTTGTACAAATTATGGAAAATCCCAACTGTAGCCAGATGTCATGTGACTTAAGCTAACTCAGTCATAAGAATAACTTAAGATATTAGGAAAATTCAAGTTATTTATTGAATAAAATTACATAAATGTATTTTACAGCTTTGAATGTTAAAGAGGGGGGGAGGGATAGGGGGGAAGGGGAGGGATGGAGGGGGAGTG